TATGTTATTATTGTAATAAAGTAACAGTTATAGGTATTCATATTTATAATATTTATCCACATGTTTCTAGTTTGTATATTCGGAATACGTGTTTGAGTTTCATACAAGTGCAAATCACATATGTTCTAATAAATTATATTCAGTAGCGATTTTAATTGAATATTTTGATTATTTATTTATTTTTTCAAATTAAAACTGAACTTTATTAAGTGTGTCCTTTTCCAGACTTTTTATTAATTTATTGTAATTAATTATTTGCATGCAATTAAAAACTAATTTTAAACGATGCCAAAGAAGGATAACTTCTCACGCGCCTACATAAGTACACGCACCCATTTTTTTATTCAGTGATTTTGACTTATTTTTTTATTTTATTTAAGTAAATCTTTGTTGTTCTTCATCATCTTTGAAATATGAAAACTTAACATAACTTTGTTATTTTACTGTATGAGAAATTATGAATCAATAATATTAAAGAGTGAATACTTGCCTACTCTGTGGTACTTAGGGTTTCTAGATTGGGAGTGTTTATCCTTATTTTGGGGAAAAATAAGAACTTGGAGAAATGTAATCTGCGGGATTATGGACATAATCCATGTAAAATAAATTATTTAAGATTAGTTAACTAGAGAAGTTCGATGGCGCAGACGATTAGCTCGTTCGGCTGCGATCGTTGAAGTTAAGCAACTTTCGCAGTGGTCGGTCATTGGATGGGTGACCAAACATCTTCTATGTCGAGTTCCTCGTTCTCCCGGCTGCATCTGCAGTCGTTAGCATCCGCCAATCCGCACTGGGCCTGCGTGGTGGGTCATGGCCTAATCTCTCTATTTCATCCATAGGGAAGGCCTGTGCCCCAGCAATGGGGACATTAATAGGCGGATGATGATGATGATGATTAGTTAACTCTGCTACGGCAACTTTCGCAGTGGTCGGTCATTGGATGGGTGACCAAACATCTTCTATGTCGAGTTCCTCGTTCTCCCGGCTGCATCTGCAGTCGTTAGCATCCGCCAATCCGCACTGGGCCTGCGTGGTGGGTCATGGCCTAATCTCTCTATTTCATCCATAGGGAAGGCCTGTGCCCCAGCAATGGGGACATTAATAGGCGGATGATGATGATGATGATTAGTTAACTCTGCTACGGCCGACAGGGTCTAACGTGAACAACATCCTTGAAAATTTCTCGCATCGTAAATTCCCAATCCAGCGTATCTATCTAATACCTATAATTTCGGTTTCGGTAAGAGGTTGTAAAATTATCCCTTCGGCTGTTTTGTGAAGATTCTATTCTCATTTATTGTATAATCCGAGATGCGTAACCTATTTTTATCTTTTTTGTTTCTATCAGTTTTTGGCGAGGTCATCCCAATTATTCATTTGGTGAAGATGCCCAGTTTAGGATATATCAAAACAAACTTTTCAATTACAAACAGTAGGTACTTATTCCGTGTTTGGTTATTTTAAGAAATATGATTAGCTTATAAAAAGTTGGAAATAAAAACATTTCTAACTAATAGGTATTAAAAACTGCTTCATAGAAACAAAACCACATAAAACAAAGGAACAAATAATACATTAAAGTCTAAAGTACCTACATTTAAAGTCTACTAGTGTACACACGTAAGAAGTGAAACTTCTTTATGGCCTTATTTTTCGAAAAATGATCTACATGCAACTTTCCAGAAATTGGTTAAATAAAGTTAAATTAGATAAAGTTTAAACAAAAGGATTTTATTATCATAGACATGAATACAAATTACTGCCTATGAAACTGTTATGATTACACGGCTCAGTAATCTAAGGCACATGTTCCACCTCCGACGATGAACGATAAGCGAGTAGAAACTAGAAACGAATTGGCAGTCCTGAGTTAAAATGCACGCGCACGGCTTTTGACAGCCAAGCCAGCTTAACCGAGCAAGTATAGCTGAGCGAGTATCGCTGAGCTAGTATCGCTGAGCGAGTATCGCTGAGCGAGAATCGCTGAGCGAGAATCGCTGAGCGAGAATAGAGATATGAGTTGTCAAATTCAATTTGGTATTCTGTAATGACACTCTATCTCTAAATTTAAAATTGACGTTGCTAAGTTATTCAACTTAGATTTAGATGATTCTGAAACGCGTTCTAAATGTCATATTTTCTCTAAAATTAGAAATGTCACACTAAATTTAAGAAGGACCTACGGAGGTCCTCTCTAAATTTAAATGTGAATAATTGGGGCCAAATATCAAGTAAATGATTGCTGTACTTAAGTTTTGGACTTGTTGTTAAGGTTGGATATGGGTTTATTTCGTTAAAAAAAGACATAAATTTTATACAATAATGAACAATTACGGTGATAATAATATATTAGCTAGATCTTTTATTTTTTTTAAAAAGGTAGGTGGGTCTATGTTACGATGTGGATTTATTATAAGCCTTTTAATGTGTCATGCTTATAATAAATCCGAGCTGCAGCGAGCAGTAACATAGGAACTCGATTTAATACATTTTGGGTTGGTCACCCATCCTAAGATCGGCCATTGTGAAAATTGCTTAACATTCACGATCGTAGAACGAAAGCGTTACACTTGCGCTATTGTGGTCTTTCGTAGGTAATGTACACGTATATCTTGTATAAAATACTAAATAATTTAAGGTAAAATCTTATATAACATAAATAAAAATCCACTTCATATAAAAACAACCTAAAAAGGTAAAAAATCTATGTACTAATTCTATAAGTAATACTTACAGATCCTACTTATATCTAAAGTACATAGTCAAATAATTAACAAGATAATAATAATTGGAATGCAAATCACTGACACCATACCTCTATGGTGTCAGTGATTTGCATTCCAATCACCAATTGCAATCCAAATGTTGTTTTGAAGTGAAACTTCTTTATCGGCGTTGGAAAAAAATTTACCGTCACATTTTTCGGTTACGCGTCACATTTTTCCGTTACGCGCCATCTTTTTTTGAAGTGAAACTTCTTTATCGGCGTTGGAAAAAAATTTACCGTCACATTTTTTCGGTTACGCGTCACATTTTTCCGTTACGCGCCATCTTTTTTTATATTAATAGTTGATAGCTGAATGATCACACTGTCGCCGGCGAGCGAGTATCGCTATGCGAGTTTGGCTGAGCGAGTCTTATCTTTAATAACTATTGTCACTCAGCTACAAACGAGTAGAGAGAGTTCTCGCCGGCGACAGTGTGATCATTCAGCTATCAACTATTAATATAAAAAAAGATGGCGCGTAACGGAAAAATGTGACGCGTAACCGAAAAAATGTGACGGTTGTTCGGACGGACTCGTTGTTAATTATTTGACTATGTACTTTAGATATAAGTAGGATCTGTAAGTATTACTTATAGAATTAGTACATAGATTTTTTACCTTTTTAGGTTGTTTTTATATGAAGTGGATTTTTATTTATGTTATATAAGATTTTACCTTAAATTATTTAGTATTTTATACAAGATATACGTGTACATTACCTACGAAAGACCACAATAGCGCAAGTGTAACGCTTTCGTTCTACGATCGTGAATGTTAAGCAATTTTCACAATGGCCGATCTTAGGATGGGTGACCAACCCAAAATGTATTAAATCGAGTTCCTATGTTACTGCTCGCTGCAGCTCGGATTTATTATAAGCATGACACATTAAAAGGCTTATAATAAATCCACATCGTAACATAGACCCACCTACCTTTTTAAAAAAAAAAATGGTTGCCTGTAAAGTCGGTTTTACGGGCGAAGATTTTACGTGACAACGTCTTTTTCTCGGTAGAATATTTATTGATATGAATATAATTAAATTGCACAATAGGAACAAGGAATTGAATGAAAATAAGAATTGCACAAATTTTAACTATAGAAATATATTTTGTTTACTAAAACATTGTACATGTAAACTTAAACTTAACACGAGAGACTCATCGTTACGTTACCGAGCGTTACACTTTTTCATAAGTGACTCCCAGCCGCAACCTAATTTAAGACGTTGTCACGTCAATAAAAAGATCTAGCTAATATATTATTATCACCGTAATTGTTCATTATTGTATAAAATTTATGTCTTTTTTTAACGAAATAAACCCATATCTAATTGTCTGATTTCCTCCTTGTTAACAAAAGTAATCATATTGCACAAGAGTTTTAGTTTATTGTTATTATTATTATATAATACTGCCTCAGACGCAAAATTAAAAATAAAATTAACGTAATATCAAACTTGTAAGAAAACGTATTAAGTTTGCATTTGAACGTTCCGTTCAAATCTGCCCCATCATGGTCACTTGGAAGAAAAATATTACAAAAAAATAATGTGAAAAAACTGGCAAGCAAAAACTACAAGGTGGAATGAAAACTAATAAGTACTGCTCAATTTTGTGAAAGAATTAGTTGGAAACCTTTACTCACGTGATAGTAAATCCCTTACAACATTTATTTTTATTTTTCACTTCACCGGTACATATAAATACGACGACAGGTTATAAATTGTTTTGAAAACGAAACGCGCGCGCTTTGTTTCTTGACGTTTGTCACAGCCAGCCAATATTAAAATGTAGTTGCGGCATAGATTTACATAAAGTTACGTTCAGAAATCAACATGTTCAAATCTGCCCCTGTTTTAAGGTGCCTCCTTCTCCCCTACTGCTGCAAATTTGTAGGCACAGATAAATTTATTTAGCGAGCTTAAAAAAATTACAGGAGTAGTCAAAAGAAGAAAAGAGTAAAAGCTTAATAAGAAATATCTAGGCCCAACTCAATATAAAATGAAAATAGTTGGTGCATTTATATTTTGGTGCATTCCAAGAAACATAAAATGCGAGTCAACTGAAAAAAATATATACTGAAGTGAGACTGTATGGACGTAGCATCATTTGCCTTCTAATCAAATTTGGCATTTGACAAAATAAATGTAATTTGACATTTTACTTAAATTTTGAGGTTATAAAAGGTTAAAGTAATGTCGTAGTTGCATTCCGGTGCTTAGTCAATAAAAATGGGTAAGGTAAAGAAATCTAAAACGCACAGAATTAAGAGGAATATAGTAGTTGCTACCAATGATTCGGATGGAGAAGAAGAATTGATTGTTGATTCGAAGGAGAACGCTGTCCAAACTGTACTGGATCAGTTGCAGGTTAGATTTAAGAAATCATGTACCTTTTAATGGAAAACAAGAAAATATGAGTTCTTCTGAATTCGTAATTTTCATTTTTTTATTATGACAAGCTGTGACATATTATTACATTGAATAATATAACGTATCTATGATGAATCTAAATTTGGGATCTGGGGGCCAATCGCCTAACGGAAATGCTTTGGGAAACGCTAACGCTTACGATTTTATTTTGTTATTTCTAGCCGCCTGAGGTATTCAAATGCCTCGCGCTCTTTATTTTTCTTTTGCATTGGTAATAACTAGGGCTGCCATCCGTCCGGGTTTCCCCGGATTTGTCCTAGTTTACGGGGCGTCCGGGGAGCGTCCGGGCGGGGTTTCATTTGTCGTCCGGGTTTAAAAATTTCCTGTTTTGGGTTGCCAATTAATCCATCAATTTAAATGTCTTTGAAAATGAATAAATCTATTCTAACACTGTAACCATAAATGCAGACTTCCAACAAAGATCAGCTTTGCTTGGTGCTGCAAGTGTCCATGGGCAGCAGTGAGCACTTATTATGAGGTAGACCGCTAGCTCTTTTGCCTACATCAACAAAAAAAAGTTGATTTGTGACATTTTTAACTGTTTTTTTATTGGTCTGTCCGGGTTCTGGGCTCCAAAATCCGGGGTTATTAAGCCTCTGATCCTGGTTGCCACATTTTAGAGATGGCAGCCCTAGTAATAACAATATTAAAAAAAATGAGCGTGAGATATTCGAAAAGCTCAGGCGGCTAGAAATAACAATATAAAATCGTAAGCGTTAGCGTTTCCTAAAGCATTTCCGTTAGGCGATTGGCCCCCTGTTTGGGCAGTAGGTAATGTACAGGATAGTAGTTGATATTGCTGAAGCTTTTAGTGACTGTTTTCTTTATTTTTTTTTCCAATTTTGTTTTATCATTATTTTACAGTCTGCCAATGTTGAAGAGAAGTATTGTGGCCTACAAACATTAGCAAATCTTATAGAAAATCCTGATAATGTAGAAGAAGTTATTACCAGAGAAGTTGCGAAAGTAGCTGCCCCATTACTAATTGATCCGGCAAGTGCAGTTAGAAATGCAGCTGCTGGAGCCCTTCGAAATGTATCTGCAGTTAAGCTGGAAGTTTGTGATGCTTTGATGGAACAGGATATTATGACACCACTTACATGTTACTATCATGAGGTTATTATAATCATCCTTTGAATATTTATATGCTTTCATATAGCAATCCAAATAAACCATGAAAAAAAACAGCTAATGTTATGCGCAATGAGTATGTGACACTAATGTTAGATTGTGTTAAAGCAGTCAATGGTGCAGATTCTGGCATGATTCTCTAAACCTAAACTTAAATTTGACAACAATGTATCCTTGTCACACTTGATACAGAATAAAATGAAGAGACTGATGTTAAATTTAGTTTTAAGTTTAGAGAATCATGCCAGAATCGACACCAGTGAGTGTGTGAAGCAACAAGCATATCACCATAGGTAGTAGATATTTTGTTCAGTACTTCTGTGCAGTTAACATTGATTAATTGTTGTTTATAATAATTCATTTGTTTTGCAAAGCTTGGAGACAGTGATTGCTTACCATCAAGCCATGCTTCTTTGGCTTCCAAATATTGTAAAATCTTGATTTGGATAAAATTTTGTATTCAAACCAGTTAGTGCTTACTAAGTGTATCATACTTTATAAGAAAGTGGTCTTAACAGGATATACAACTTTATTGATGTCAATTACAGTTCTATTTCTTATATCAATTAAGAACCAATTTTTTGCTCAGCCTTGAACATGATGATACTTTTCCTTATACATATATTATTTCAGCATATTATATCTTATAAATATTTAAATAGCTTTATTCAATATTTTTAGCATGCAGCGGAGTGGACACCAGCAAAAGATAGTCAATCCAAAGATGAGAATTCAGACACTTACATTCAGTGTACAAATTTATTGTTGAATTTATGTGAAAGTTCAGGTATGTTATGGATATCTCTGTTTCTTTTTCTTAGAATATTTTATAGTGGTCTAATTTAACACCAGTACACTTATCTAAATATGACTCCTAACTTTACACTGTCTCATTTATAACAAGTATGTTTATACAATACAATACAAAATTAAAGCCTTTATTGCTGATAATTACATAAAAAATACATCATTAACAATTTTACTTATAATTTAGCATGTCCTGCAGACACCTGCAGACAGTTTATACAATACCAGTGTTTTATTCTACAATCAAAAGTACTGTGGGAGCTGACATAAACTTTTATATTTTACAGCTTACACTGTAGTTCTTTGTAAAACAAACCATTTTTTCCCTATTTTTAGAGCTGGCTATCAAATATGTGGGACAATCAAAAATATTAGACATACTGCCGAGATACTTGCAGCTATCTGAATTTGGCAATGACATTGTTATTGCCACATTGCAGTGTTTATTGGTAATAGTTGAAGACAATCCTGTTGCTGTAGAAAAAATCAAATCAAACTCTGAATCACAACTGGAGTCTTTAATAAACTTGGAAGGAAGTAACCCTGATGCACTACTAATCAAAACATTAGCTGCAGGCGTGATTATTAACATGTGTGGTGGAAATTTGAGTGCCTTACCTGTAGATGTTATCAATCAAGTTTTTGCCATTTTGGCTAATTCACTCTCAGTCGACCACAGGCTGGCATGTAACCAGCTATCTAGTACTGTTCCACTAGCTGATGTCTCAGGAAAAGTGAAGGCTCTTAAAGGAAATGAAGCAAAAGTTCTTGAAAATCAAATAAAAGCAGTTGTACAAATGTTAGATGCACAACAGAGTGCCATTGAAATTATTGCGAATATTTGTTCTTGTGATGGTTAGTATTCTATTTATGATTAATAATTTCTTAGTAGTGAGTAAACATATTAAGATATTAAATTTATTATCTTCTTCTTTAGATGGTGATGAAGTTGAGAATGATGATTCCTCAGACAGTGAACTAGATGAGGAAATTTGCAAAAATGATGATGAAACTATGTTATCTGAAGATAAGTTGCCTCCTCTAGTTATGGAAGCGTTGATGTCCCTAGACATATTTGCCAAAGTCTGGGCTCGAACTGAATTACCACCTCAAAACGTGATGATGATATTGAAGGAATATGAAGGATCACAATTAGTTTTTAAGAAGTAAGACAAATTTTGGTTTACCTTAAATGTTGAAAAAAGATTTTCATTTTAAGAGGAAACAATGTTTTTGATATACCCAATGAAGTTTTATATTAATGAATATTGATGGAACAAATATCCATCTTAAACATTAAAATGTTTTGAATTATAACTTTTCAGGCTTCATAGTGTACAGACCCGAGCCTTGCTTTGTATAAACAATATGCTGTCAACCCTACCCATTAATGGCTTGGGTGGAGTAAATGGTGTTTACAAAATATGGATTGATGCTGGCAAGTTAACATTTAAGCAGAATGCTGAAAATTTGAACCTGTTGGAGTCTGCAACTGCTGTTATGCGTGCTGCTCTTGATAAAATTAAACTAAAAGAAAATGGAAATGTGAATGAATGCAACTTATTTAATAACATGGCTCTGTCCGATATCGAAGTAAGTAAAATATAAATTTATTTACATTTTTATTGTTTCAAACATCAAAACTTTAAATTACAATGGTTCAGTTATTGCAATTATTTGTATGTACAGTAGAAATATAGGCGGAGTCATAATAAACAGATTCTACTGTATATAGTTTTCACCAACCGATTTTAGATTTTACAACTTTTATTTATTTTAAGTAAATGTTGTTTTACAGATGATGTTGACAGGCATCAAAGAATGTCAGTCTCCAGAAATAAGATCAAATCTCATCAGGATGATAGGAATATTGGCATTGCTGTTGGTAAATAACTTAACTGAAGTAACCTCTAATGTGATATGCACAATAACTGAGTTTATATTGGAACAAGCTCATAAAGAAAATGATGTTTGGGTATTAGCTGAAGCTATAGACACACTAGTAGATTTGTATTCTGAAGATGAAACTGACATTCTGGCTGTTAAAGTGAAACTGATTGATAAATTATCTATACTGGCACCTATACTGAAGAATAAAGTAAGTATCACATAGTATTGGAACTAGTATCTAAATATTATTAAGAAAACTTAAAAAATAAGTATAATAATACTAATACTTTGGCTGAGTGGATTTATTTCTAGTGAAATTTTTTATTGATAACAAAACCTAACAGTTTTAACTTTTTAAAGAAAAATTATATGTTATTATTTAATTAACATGTCAATTTAACTAGTAATAATAGCCAATTGCTATTCAAAATATCTGTTTTGCCAGTCGGAGATGGGCATACAATAATTAAGCAATTTTGTTATTTCAATAATTAACACTAGTTTATAGGTGTTTTTTGGTTTTAAGGCCAAAGGCCAGGGAGAGATAAGAGTACTACTTATTTTTCTTTTACACCTGGGTTGTGAGGTCAAATCATTCATCAGAGAGAATTGATAAAATAGAAAAATATTTTCTTCAAATAATATGCAAATAAAGATACATGTGTCATAGTTTACTTAAAACCTCTAATGATATCTTAAATGTTGTTAGATAAGAATAGCAAAAAATAAATACTACATACATGTACTTACCTATATTGTTGAAGGGACCATATAATTTTGGTCGTTATGTCCGATAGTTGTTATAAGCAATATACACAAGTGGTCATATTATTATCATATTGTAGTATGGTTATAGATAATGACTATAAGCTTGTTTTGAAAAAAATGCCGAAAGAAGAAATATAAGTTTACAAAGAAAAAATTTAAGTACCTACAGTATATTTTGTTTTGCTGGAAAAAGTAAAACGTTTGGTCGTTATAGCCGATGAATATCATAATATGTTCATAATATGAACTTTATCAATATTCATTGGCTATGAGTCGTTTTAAACGATATTTCGCTATATCCGGAGGTGTTATAGGCGGTTTGTTTACGTAGGGGTTTATATAGGGTTTCGGTCGGGAACTTGCCTAATGGTCGTAATAACCGACACGTCGTAATATATGATGTCGTGATATTCGGTTTTGGCTGTATTATAAAGGCTACCTCAATAGCACAATATTATATTTTCTCGCTTTCAGTCCAGCATATAAAGAAAGTATCATGTTTATTCCATGTAAAATAAAAGCATAAGAATCCACAAGAATAGGATTTCAGTATTCATTTTTCAATTTTGAAATGATTTAAAATACTTATTACAGGCAAGGCAACAGAGAAGACTGCCAAAGGAGTACAAGGTCTTAGTAAGCACCGCCACATCAAATTTACCGAGATTTATAAAATATAAAAAGGCACGATTGAGTAACTTGTAAGTGTAAATAATGTTAGTCAAATTTTACGTTTGATGTATTCCTTTTATTTTATTAAAACATTTTCACCCTATTTTGAAAAATGCGTATGATTTTTCACTTTGTTCTATGCAGTCCACATAAATTTTGCTTTGTTGTAATGGTTTTCGTCTCGATACAAAATGGATGTGGGAGGCGAAGGATTCATCAAATAATGAAAAAAGGCGGACTAGTGTTACCAGGAGTTGTTTATGAAGTAGTGATTGCTAAGTTCTAAAATAAAATCACTTTTTATATTATATGTATTTGTGTGTGTGTGTGTGTGAGTGGGATGCGTGCACAGCTCTTCCCGACGAGTATGAAAGTTGGAGAGTAACTCAGCCAAGGCTGAAACGCTACGAGCGTTACACGCGATATTATATATATAAATGAGTGATGCGTGCGCTGCTCCATTCCCCTATGCCTAATGCAGTGCCTTATGTCAGGTTATTTACCTGTCAGCTGCGGGAAAGCCTCCGCCTAAAACAGCCCCCGTCTGCGGGACGATTGCGCGGCCGAAACGTAGACAAAATCTATCTCACCTAAGGTGGCATAAATGCGATTTGAATAAATTGTGCTTTTCTTTGATAACCTTTTCAAAGTTGAATAACTAAACAATAGATTTTTGCAAAAAATATAATGTTTCAAGTATTTATTCATATAAATAAACTGTTTTAAAAATTACTTTTTAGTTACGAAAATCGTCGTACTAACGGTTGTTTGGTCATAAGAATGACTTCACCACAATGAGTGAATGGTTTATTCATCTGGGTATAAAATTCAAAAGACTTTGAACTGTATTGCATTATATTTATTCCCAAAATTGCAAAAAAATTGAATGCGGGAGACGAGCGAGCAGATCTGCACTCCCGCAAACGGGCTATACTCACGAAGGCGTGCAGATCTGCACTCCCGCAAACAGGCTATACTCTCGAAGGCGTGCAGATCTGCACTCCAGCGGTTGAAGGGTAAGAAAAGAAGTTTCTCTTCAGATGTGTGGACCGTGCACACAATTTTTTTTTGTGTAGCATGTCAATATTATTTCAAAATATCACAGTTTCTGAAATACATCACACTGACGGATGGACGGACTAACTAAAATGGCTCAATTTTAGGGTTTATTTTATTGTCGCCTATTAAAAGGGTTAAGAAGTAATTAAACTACCCAACATACCAATCATATAATAATTTATTTTAACAACAAATAAACTAATAGGACTATGGTTGAAATTATCCCATATCTTTTCGATGTTCTTATAAAAAATTTAAATTAAATAATTTAAGATAATCTTGTACGCTTTCACACATTTAGTGCATTGTACTTAATAATAATGATAGAAATCTTTGATGTACCTAAATAAATCTATAATAATTTTTGAAATTATAGATGTAGATGATATTTAATCTGACATGATTAGTACAGTTTGATGATTACATGTTAAAATGTTTGGTGATAAGCGTTATGAATACATGTTAAGTTTTTTTATTTTTCATGAAGCCTAGTTTCCACCGCCAAAGAGGAATGAAATAGGGATGACTTACGGAGCGGTCTTCGTGTACACAAAATATAGATTGCTTGTCCACCGAGAAAGAGTTCGGGAGTATTGATTGCCACCGCCATGCGCCAGAGGAATGAGCGAAAGAAAAGAGTTGAGTGATATGAACTGAAAATAATCAAATCACCTCTTTCTCGGTGGAAACACTACTATGTAAATCAATTGCGAGCGAAATGAAGGAGCTTTTGCCCTGTTTATCATTTTCGCTCACTATTTGTTGGTGGAAACAGATGTATGCATTTTTGTATTGCGTAGAATTAATGAGCTCGTTCTGCTTGCGGCCCCTTTATTGATAGGTAAATAAAATATAGTATAAAAATAGGGAACACAAAATATGTCTTCTAAGTGTGTTATCATATGAAAATACATGCATTGAATGGCAATTCTTTTTATAATGTTAATAAAGATACCATTCGATATTTTAACTATGATAGCAATATTAACCAACAATTATAAATTTTTACAGTCTAAACCGTGTTGTATCTACGGCAGAACTTTAGTGTTCCAGCTTACACAGTTTAAAAAAATGGTGATCTATGCATATTTTTACGTTTTTCCAAAGTAGGTCTTGTTTTATTCTTAAAGGCACGCAATTTTCCGAAGTCTGAGATCCAATTTTATTCTAACATTTTAAATAGGTTTGTCTGGTTCATATCTCTTTTAAATTTACGTTTTGATATCACCATTACCATTCACAGATGATACGGGATCCCCGTAATGACTCCTTCTTGGTTTTGGTATAGGGTTTGGCGAAGAAGCATCCTTGTTATCAAATCTTCTTTTGATATCTGAAACTGACAACCTCGCCCCAGTCTCTGTGATGACGTCATCTTCGTTCAAAGCGGAATTGAGTTTACTTATCTCTCTTTCTAGTTCTCTTGTAGCTCTGTCGATTTCCATGAATTCCTTTTCAGTGCTCGATACTGTTTCGATACTCTGTCGTCGAGCAGCTTCTTCGTAAAGTTTACACACGACCTTATGTGGAACATCATTGCCATTAGGATCCTTAGATGATTTCTCTTCGTTCAAATTAATGTCGTAAGTTGTGTTAATTGAACAAAGATTGTTAGTTAAACTCTTACTCCTTTTATTAGTTAATGCATGATAATCTTCGAGATTTCCACGTCGTAGTCGAATATCGTCATCGTTTAAACTGGAGTTACGCCGATATTTCACGATGTCTATTTTAGGAAAGGATGCTTTGGAAAGAATATCGTCCTCGGAGTCGGAACTTTTCATCTTGGTATCTGGATTTAATTGCTGGTTTTCTTCTACCCATTCTACAACTTCGTTGTCTTCTATTTTCGATGTGTCTTTGCTAGCATCTGTTAAAGATGCAGATTCGTCTTTGGTATCAACATCAGGACTAGCAAGTATTACTTTTTCTTGAGAAACATCTTCGTCTTCAACAATTTTCAATTCGACGTCAAGGTTAACGTCCTCTGATTCTAAATCTACGTCTGCATGAGACAATTTACTATCATTGGTTTCACTTATTTGCAACTCTGAATCCACACTCGTAATCTATAAAAAAAAAGTGCATATATTTAATTTTAGTAGTCTAACTTTAATATTATAACATAGGAAAGGGTTTTGTCTATGGGGTTTGAACGGTGTGTAGAAATTATATGAAATATGCAAAGAAGGCATATCTTGTGCCAAGACTAGTCACGTAAAATACGCCCTGTGGGGTTCGCCAGTAAATCATATTACAGCATGTCCTATGGTTGGTAATATATCATGGTGTGTGTAAACTTTATAGGAATCCAACCCGCTTACTAAACCTATTTTCAAAGTAGTACCTACCAGTGAAATTGTACCATACTAGTGATACCACAAAGTTTCACTTATAGGCTACAAAATAAAGCCGTACTTCGGAAGGCACGTTATGACTATAGCACCCACAGAACAAAGAAAGAGGCAGAAGGGTTTACGTAGATCGTTTGTACTTACGGGAACTGATGTCGCCGGCTCGACCCCACTACACTTCGCGCAACACGACGCAACATCAAACAAACGAACCAATCAGCGTCAACACCGAAGAACAACGACGCAATCAGAACCAAGTTTTGGTCAAGTTATGAGCTTTTGCTCACACATAACTGTGGCGCGCCTGCTCCGCCCACAAGGCCCTTCTTACCTCTTTCTGTGTTCTGTAATAGCACCCACCGTGAGTCAGTTAGTCAGGTCAGTAATTAGCTATTAGTCATTAATCAATTTCTGTGGCCTACGACTTCGTCTTCGTTAACTTTAGAACCCCGCAGGTACCTTACATTTTCCGGTATAAAAAGTATCCTGTTTCAACCCAGGTAATAAACGATATGTGTACCTAAATTCATCCAAATCCGTTCAGTCGTTTTTTCATGATTTACACAATCAAACGTAAAAAACAAACATACAAATTTTCATATTCATAATATTATAGGTAGACCGCTTAACTGAGTCTTCGCCTGCGGGGTAAAGGGTGTGGGGGACCGACCGTGAGAGGTGCCGGCGGCAGACACATTCTTGTCAAAATTACAAGCGCCCGCCGCCCGCACCTCTCAAGCTCCCCGTTTTCGTCCTCCCCCACACCCTTTACACCGCAGGTGAGGACTCAGTTAAGCGGTCTACCTATAGTAAGAAGTACGATTACTCACCGATACGTCTGCGGCGTTTGGCGGTAGCGGGGCTCGCTTCTTCTTGCGTCGCGCGCGCACCGGCGGCACTGGCCCATCCTCCTCGAACGGGTTGTTGCTGCCCACACTCAGCCGCGACCCCGTCACCTCGCTGCGGGCCATGCGCGGAGTGCCACTGGAACACAATTATTCATTCATAGATATTATAAAATGTCCCCACTACTGGGGCACAGATATAGGGATACGCGGAAGGAATTAGCCATAGCGACAATACTTTTCAAATCATTCTGTAATTTTCAACGGGAGGGGATGCGGGAATATGCACACGAACGCAGTTAAACGTACACGCATATAAATATATAATATGCCCAATTTGTATGCCCATCTCTTCAGCGGGGAAAGCTGTGTGTGTATGCCTACTCCCAATCCAGGCTGCGTCGGCCGTGTTGTTTGGTGACCATGGAGCATGACCCACTACGCGGGCCCAGTGCGGGTTTGTGCTAATGACTGCAGTTACAGCCAGGACCAACGGCCTAACGTGCCTTCTTTCCTTCATTAATATATATATAATATTTGTGTACCTACCTGTGAGCAAAAGTCTAACAATCCAATCTAATTGATACAATTATATGTACTTAGAATTGACGTTCGCGCCCCTTTCTGGAACTTCTATGCGCTTTATCTGTATTTTTTTAATTGACAAAAGAAAAAAAAATCAATTATTTTTTGAGAAATCTAACTGACGGAACAAATATAATTTCGCTACCCGTCATCGTTCGGCACGTGGATATAAACCGTCCCTCAAAGTAGCTAGGTCGTGGCCGAGCCGTAAGCCCACAATCGATTATATCCAATCAAATTTTTTGCTCTTTTTTGATCTATCTAGATACATACAATAAATAAATATTGTATTGTACAGTCGAATAGCAAGATGTCCAATGTTGCCCTTAACACAGATTATTTTATTATCTAGCGAGGGTTCAGTCTGAATATGTCAGAAAACCCTAATGCTTAAGAATGTTTGACTATTACCTACTTTAATTTTCATTTGCGAGCGATTTACAACCTAAAAGTAGTTAGCAGTAGGTAGTAGCGGAATCAAAAACTCCTTTGACGTAACATTGAAACGTAGGTGCTTAGTCATTGCCTCATAAGTTTTGTTTCGACATATTTCTGAATAAAAATGAAGGTGACATCATTTAAAGACCATTTAGGTAAGTATACGTGCATGATACAGTGTGGACTAAATCGTCCCTCTTGTATGCTAAGAAAACAAAGGGAATGTGGTATCCGCTCTTATCTCCGCGCTCTATAATGTTGATAGAGGTGATCCTTATCTCGATGTCTACAAAACTAACAAAAGAGATTCTTCCGCGATAGTTATTGTTTTATAAACAGCGTTTTGACGACCTCCGTGGCCGAGTGGTTTGTACGCCGGGTTTCATGGTGCCGCCGACTCGAGAGGTCCCGGGTTCGAATCCCGGTGGGGGCAGATGTTTGTGTGATGAATACGAGCATCTGTACTCCAGTCACGGATGTTTAATAATGTATTTCGATATAAATATACTTATATATGTATTCTATCCGTTACCCTAGTATCCGATAACACAAGCCTTACAGTGCTTACTTTGGGGCTAGGCTAATTGGTGTGTGTGTTGGAAATATTTATTATTATTATTATTTATTTATAAGCTTCATTGAATAATAGTGAGCTCTTAAGTACTTATCCTTCCACTTCTCGTTATTGTAAAAAATATCATGAACTATTGGATTAAGATAAAGTTTACAGCCAAAGTACGATGCAGCCAGACATCACATTGTCATCTTTTATGCATCTGCACCTGTAACTTCATCATCATCAGCCTAATAGTATTAATGTCCTCACTGGCACAAACCAAGCCCCAAGATAGAATTGGTAGATTGAGCATAGAACCTGCCTCACCCACGTGGTGCTCGACCACGTGGGTGAGGCAGGCAGGCCCAATAAAGAGTTGCTGGCGACTGAAGATATAGGCGGGACCAGCAGCTGCGTGCCTTGTGGTTCACGGAAGAATTCGAGATAATAAATTTTTGGCCACAGATCTGATGACCGGTTATTGCAAATGTTACATAACTGCCACGATAACAAACCGAGCGCGCTAACCACTTGCGCCATCGAGATCCTCTCCTTCGACGTAAAGTAACGGAATCGCAAAATAATCTATTAAAATTAAGCAGCGCAGTATCGGACATAAGAACAAACTAGCTTTTTCCATACAAAGACAACTAACTACGTTTCTTTACGCAGCTGTCAAAAACTCTTGCTAGAGCCTCTGCGCTGTGTGGTGGGCTATGTATAACCCCTCTCTGCATGCGTAGAACCCTTAAAAAAGTTATACCTACTTAGTCACATACAGCCAACAAAAAATTGGCTAAGTGCGATGACGTTTCATGATCGAGCGCAGAACACAGATTTTTACTCTAAATAGTCCGTGAAAGTATGTCGTTACAAGTCTATTAGAGTTGTGGGCGTACCCTTAGAGCCTCTAAGGGGCGTACCCATCGTGCTCATAATGTGGATCAGCGCCTGCTTTTCTCTACGTGATTCTGTCCAAGCTAAGGCCTATTATAGAAATAGTGTTCTGTTTGATTAGACCTAGAAAAAAGACAGTAATAAAAATAACAATGGTTTAATTTATTACACCAAATAGGCAGTTGTGGCAATTATCTATGAAACTTACCTAAGAGAGTTGACCTCGTGTTGACTGGAGCTGCGCAGGCGCTCCTGGAACCGCGAGCGTGGCAGCGGCGTCACCGAGCCCCCGTATACGTAGCGCTCCGGTGACGCCACCGTGCTGCGCGCGCCCATCGTGGACGCTGACGAGTCTGTAATTATTGAGAAACTATGATTGAAATCCTTTTAATTCGAAAAGTAGTAGTATAGGTAGAGTCTAAGTTCTTAAGCAAAACCACAGACGGTAGGCGGTTCTGTATGTATAATTTTTACTGCGCAGTCTTTCTTGTCTGTGGTCGTAACTCAATAAGTTTGCCGGATTTTATAAGTTTCAACAAAAGTAATGTAGACCTGACTTCTTAAGAATAGGAAAACTTCTGTAGGTTTCAGGAGTGAGTTTTCTATCATCATCAGTCTAATAATGTTAGGGCACGGGGATTCCATATTGATGGGATAGGAGGAAGATTGGGCCAAGACCCGCCGCGCGGGTGAGGATTGGTGGGTGCTGAGCAGATGCAGGCGGGACCAACAGCTTAACGTGCCTCCCGCAGTATAGAAGAGCTTGAGATGATGAAATGTTGGTTACCCAACCGATGAACGGGTAATGCGAAAGTTACTAACTTCTATAGCGGCTCCGAACTAATCTATTTCCGTATAGTCCTATAAAATGACTGAATTTGAAAATGGAGGTGTCTTTAAAACATGAAATTTTATTATCTACAACTTTTTCCTATGGATTCTTTAACAGGAGTCATCTGTTTCAATGTCGTATGAAAGGTCGCAAAATATAAGCTTGCAATTTAATGAGAATTTTTCCGGTTCTAATGGGTTAATCTCAGATTGTCTAGGTTGCAATGTGACTAACCCCCATTAATGAATATATTGCAAAATGACTACAAATTGATAGTGGAAAAGCAAAATCGTTTAAACGCTACTTTAGGGTCAATTTATACTAGCGCAGAGTCGAAGCGCATCAAATGCAGCAATCAGCAAATGAGAAGTAGCGCCATAAAAATAAAAACATATTCATAAAATAATATTTTCTAAACATCCTCCTATTAGAAGTTACACAGTGCCTTTACTTTAAGAACTAGATGTCGTTTATGCGAAAATCACTCGGCCCGACATATATTTTTTGTCAAGCAAACATCAAATCATACGCCAATAATGGCGTAAGCGCCATTAGTTTACAATACAGCATAATTTATGTCGCTTCAGTGTTGTGAACAATAAAAATCCTCAAATAAAATGTTGCAGCGCCAAAAAAGGCGAATAAACTACTCAAACCTTCACGAAACAAACAGATCGATGCAAAAGAAAAAAATATACCTAACTCTAGTATCTAACTCTATATATACCTAACTCTAATTTAAAGACCGGCATCGCATTTGTGATACTCCTGGTGTTGCAAGTGTCCATGGGCGACGGTGATCACTTACCATCAGGTGAGCCGTCTGCTCGTATGCCACCTATAACTTAAAAAAAATCTCATTTTCGATTAAAGTATAAGCGATTTTGCCTTTCCACTGTCGATATTATTTCATCTAGATCTTTAATTGACTACATCGCATAATGTCTAAAATCGCAAAGTGACTAGATCTTTATTTGACCACATAAATAAATAATAAATAAATATTTCCAACACTCACACCAATTAGCCTAGCCCAAAGTAAGCACTATAAGGCTTGTGTTATGGGATGCTAGGGTAACGGATAGAATAGGTATATATATATATATATACAGTACATATATAAGTATATTTATATAGAAATACTAGCTGACCCAGCGAACTTCGTACCGCCCTAAAAAAATAGGGGTTGTCCAGCGGACAAAATTGTGAATCTAAACCATTCTCAGATCCCCTTGAACACACACAAAAAATTTCATCAAAATCGGTCCAGTCGTTTAAGAGAAGTTCAGTGACATACACACTCACAGAAGAATTATATATATAAAGATATATTAAAAATCCATGACTGGAGTACAAATGATCGTGTTCATCACACAAACATCTGCCCCCCACCGGGATTTGAACCCGGGACACAATGACACCCGGTGGACAAACCACTCGGCGACGGAGGTCGTCGCGTCGTGGATAAAATAATAACTAGATCATAAAATGACTATATTTTTATTCGATCACATCTCACAAAGACTAGGTCGCAAGCTAACTTTGATTGTCTATATATTACTAGTACAGTTAAGGGGCCGTTCAAGTATTACGTAAGCAGATTGATTACAATTATTTACCCCCTCCTCCCCCTTGTCAGCAAAAGTAAGCAAAGCTTCCCCCTCATGCTTACGTAAACATTGGTACCTATATGCATTTTTCCTTTAATGTATTCTGTTTTTTTATTGATTCATAAGTTTTCATGAGCTTCATGAGCAGCAGTACTTAAATAGGCTTAGTCCATGATGCTGACGTAATCACCATCTCGAATCCCACCCCCCCATGTCATCAAAAATAAGCAAAGCAAAGACCCCCCCCTGCCCCCCTATAGTGCTTACGTAATACTTGAACAGCCCCTAGCCTAGGTAGAAAATCTCTATAAATAAAAATGAATCGTCGAAATGGATATATTTACGCGCATAATTTCTGAACAACTGCATCAAATTAGATAATTCAATTTTTTTGGTGTTCTGTTCCCAAAAGGTAAAAACCGTACCCGTCCGTCCGGGCGGCGCGGCGCGGTCCGTCTGTCTGTCTATCTGTCACCTGTTCTGTCATATGAACTGTACTATTACAGTTTATAAGAGACAGCCTGGTGACAGATCTAGCTAATTAGACAGTTGAAATTTTTACAGATGATGATATTTCCAATATAAGTATATTTAACAATTACTTAAAAATAGAACAAAATAAATATTTATAAAGGCAACAAATAGACGCTTAACGTTCAGCGCATATTTAGTTGCGTATTAATTTTAAAAATAAATAATTAAAACGTACCATACAACAGACGTGATTTTTGCCCTTTTTTTTGCTAGATATTAGTAAGTTTCTACACTGTCATACGAAACACGATACCCTTCGTGCTCGAATCCGACTCGCACTTGACCGGTCTTGGTGTTGTTATTGTCAGGACAAGCTTTATTTACATAGGCAATATTATATAATAGGACAGGAAATCTTCAATATAATGTCAGAGGCTTTGTAAATTCTTAGTTAAACATGACTTTTAGGAATTTCGAAATATTCTAAAATATAATATGGTGGTGCTTAAAAAACGCATCAATGATTTCCTGCTGTTGAAAGACATAGAAACACGTACGACCCTGTAGAGCTTAATTATGCTCTAGAGCAGGGATTTTCAAACTTTTACTTTATCATGCCAATATTTACTATCAGAATATATGGTGAATCAAGATTTTGCTCAGGCCACTTACGATTTGCTCCCCATCAAAAGGTATAGCTCCATAATTATTGCCCCTTACCCTGCAACCTCAGTTATGCCCCTGCCATGCCCCCATATGCCCCTGATTTTGCTGCGAAGTAAATAGGTAGGTGGTACGAAGTTCGGCAGCGGGGTGTCCTTGTCGGAACAGGTGAAAAAAAATACTTTTTTCATCCCACCACCTCGGAAAGTGTAATTTTGCGCTTCGAAATCTGGCTGGAAAATTCTATTTTATTCGCTTGAGCGGCAAAGTAGATTTGAATTTAGAACATCACATATAATGAGTACTCAATATAATTGTAAATTCAAAACGTCATTAAACCTATTTAATGTAACCTCTATGGTGCCAAATTTATGATTAGAACTTTTTAAATTGTGAAAAAATTTAAATTTGGAACCTTCTTGGTTTCTTTGTTTTATTTGCGTGCTTCGCGCCATTCTAGTTTTTCACGTTTTATTGCTTAAATATTTTGTCATTATAAATTGTTTTCTTTTTCATTTTGTCATTTCCTCGCTGAGGTGGGATGAAAAGTTACGTATTGCACTCGAGTGGAAAGATTTTTCACCTTGTGCTCGTTTGTTTCCCTCGCTGACGCTCAGGATTCTAATTTAGAATCACTCGCTGCGCTCGTGATTCAACTTTAGAATCCTTCGCTTGCTCGGTCATCCAAATCGAGCACGCGGTTAAAAAGGAACTTTCCACTCTTGTATAATAAATAACTATTAGTGAGGATCTTTGATTTTTGTTTGATGATGGCCGGCCGCATTTCAACTATTTTAATTTAAATATGGAGAGAAAAATATTTAGTTTTAGGTTTTAAGTTACGTAACTGATGGTAATGCATTTAAGTGTAATTGACTGTACATTTTTGTAAACACAAACTTGACAAATAAGCTATTTAGTTATTTTACGTCTTAGTCATTATGAGATGGGGTTAAAAAAATATCTAGTCATTTTGCAATCTTAGGCAATATGCGATGTAGTCAATTAAAGATCTAGACGAAATTGTATGTAGTCATTTTGTGATATAGTCATTAATGGGGGACAGTCACACTACTACTACGTTCTAGACAATCTTAGATCAACCCGTTCAATCTTCTTTAATATTGAATAGGATAAAATTTTCCGTTAACCTAGAAGCAAAAAACTGAAAAATTTCACGGTATTATGCTCCCAAAAGTTATGCTCACCTGTTGGGAAACTAGGATTACCTACACTAAACTAGGATTACATACATTAAGGACCAAATTAAGGTAATAAAACAATGTTTGAAAAAAATAACGAGACTACATTGCACACTATATTTTAGTGAAGGAAGAAAGTTTCTTTCTATGTCACCAGCCAGTTTTTATGATAACGCCTTGCTTAATCGGGGTTAAGTAATCAAATAGTCAGATATAAAATCAATTACTTATTCAGATATAAGTAGGCAGGTGCGCTATAATTCCAGACAAATTACTTCACAATGGTGGAATTACCATTAATAAAATAAAGGGATATTCAATCGATATCATAGATAAATTGTTTCTTATGGTGATTAAAATTTATTACAAAATTATTTACTATTCATTTTCAGCTCATAATCAATTTTGTTTCCAAGGAAAAGTTCGTGACCTCATTTCAAGTGTTGATATTTCTTGAAATTACTTACTACATTATTTGAATAATGAGTGTTTTATTGTTCAGAAGATGCAACTCGGCCGTCTCAGCGAGTGCTGAATGTGAGCTATTATTAACTTACCTATTTGAGGGAGTGGAATACTGGAATTTCAGGAGCTGGCGCCATGGCATATAATGAAAAATATACACACGTCGCAAACCAAAAGTTGCTTAAAAAGGTTACCTTACGCGCGATTTATTTTATCTTACATTGTAACGCCCGTCGATATACGATTGGACTGCTGTCATCATTTCCGGTTGCATTTTTATCACTTGTTTGCCCTTTTTCTCTTTTCCCTTTCTTCATAAACGACCGGAATGCCCTGTAACAATTTATGAACGAATATAATGATGTATCAGTATCACATATACCAAATGATGTATTAGTATGTATCAATTAAAAAAAAACTTGACTAAAGGGTTGAATGCAAGATTTGTATACAAGGATATTATGTAGTGTCCTTCAGTACTATCATCGGTCGGATCAAAGTTCAGTGTAATGGACAAATGAATAGGGACCAATATGATCCGCTTTCCGCAACAGCCGTGTAACATTTACCAATTCGCAATGCAGTCGGCGTTGAAAATTCAACTTTTTGCGATGGTAATACCGATGCTGGTTCAGTAAGAACATTAACCGCTGGAGGAGCTCTCACGGCCTGGTTAACGGATGTCTGTAGGCGCAACACTGACAAAAGTAATGGAAGTTTAGTGCACTTGATTCCACTTGAGCGGTCGCAATTGTGGCGTGACGGACGTGCGCAAGAGACTGTCTTCACCCACGCTCTGAAGCTATAACAGTGCGACCCTGTGCTTGTGGACAGGTGTGGAGGATTGTAAAAGTAAATCTAAACTTTTATGATCATAAAGTCCGTTTTGGAGTTGAAATTGCCATTTTCTTAAAGGTATTGGCGTAGGTAGGATGTCGTATCCGTAAAAGTATTATAACGTATTGTGTACCGAGTGGTACCTAGCATGGACTTATTCCATGCCCCTATTCCATTATTCCATGGTACCTAGGTTTACTTAAGGTTAAAAACTACTACGTAGGAATGGAATCCTAAATGAGCGGGTAAAAATACTATCTATGCTCAAAAGTGAATTTCCTGTCGGTGGGTTATAGTTTATATAAAAGCTGTGTTATTAATTAGTTTTTAAATGATTTTATTTTATGTGGCTAGTTCTAGTTCCAGAATGTACAAAACTGCATCGGATCATAGATTTCATTATTGTTCGGCGAAACTTGGCAGTATAATATCGAAATTTTCTGTTTATACTCACCACACTAAATCTCATTTTAAAAAGAAAAAGATTTTATTACAAGTACATAGTATATATAAATTCAGCCTTATAGACAAGGCAGAACAGTTAACATGTTATGCATAACATTAATCTCGTAGGTCATAAAGATAAATACAGATTTATCTGAACTGTACTTGAACCTGTGCTGCTCCATTTCGTGACGTGTTTCTGTAATTGGTTGAGACTAATAAGATTTACATTATGTTTTCTTGTCATAATATTTACCTTCGGTTAGGGTACGATCAGGCTGGCATATTCGTAGAATGAAAGCCTCTAAATGAATAAAGTTAAAAAAATACTTACCTACGAGCTATCGCTGCCACAGATTATAGTATAATGTACCTACAATTGTCTTACCCACCTAACCCACCTAACCCACCTAGTAGTATTTTTCCATATAAAAATAATTACTAAGTATTCAGTAAATCTTTAAGTAGCCGTTATGTAATTTTCCTCTAAAGCTTACGTCATGGTTGGGTAAACATTTCGGTAAGGACAGATTGGGGAATTCCATACTAATATTATATATACGAGGAGTTCGATTGCGCAGGCGTAGGTAGTTAGCGGATTCATATGCTGATGATGATGAGGATTATAAATACGGAAGATAACCTGTTTGTTTGTCCGTTTATCTTTCTTTTACGCTTTTAGGCCTAAACTGCTTAATCGATTAAGGAAACTTTTCATCGCAAATATAAAATACATACCAATCTACTACCCTTCCACCACCTTATTAGAAAACGTTGACTAAAGTTAAACCTGGTTTAAAACAGATGCTGTCACTTTTGTTTGCTAAAAAGAAGACAAAACAGCATTAACTTTAAACCAACAACATTAACGTCAGAGCGCGTTTTGGAATATGGCGGAAGGAGGATAAAATAGAGTAAATACTTAGAAAAGTTATTATGGAAAAAAAAATACAAAGATTTATGTTGATTCCGCTGCGTTGAAATTTTTACGTAGGTACTTAGTGTGTCTTTTCGTTGCCGCTTTAATAAAAAGTCAAAAATAAAATAAATTTAAAGATAAAAATATACCTTTTGGAATATGATTTTTAAGATTTTTTTGCGATCATAATAATCGCTATTTCAAAGGTCATTATTGCGATGGCACGGTACCTTTTAAGTGGCAGTCCAATTCGCATAATGGCGGTTTTTTTTTCCTTTTTTTTGGGAGTTAAACTTTATATGAGGTATGTCGGTGATTATTATAATGTTAGGTATGTTATTAGTACTTTGATACACTTAAAAAAGTCAAACTAATGTTAAACCTTGCTAAAAACAATTAATAAAACGTAGATATTATTCGAGGAGGAAAATTTATGTTATATTCGTTATTAACAAGTGCCGTAAATAAATTTCTATTTTAAGTACCTACTATTTTAAAATTTAAAATTTGCGATTTTTAAAAATACGTAATAAATCTCAATTTGCATGTATAATAGTTTCATATTTCAATATACGTAGATTTTAGTTGCGACTAAGCAGGGAGGCAGTGCCCTTGGATACCCTGCTAATCACTAAGTACCTACTTCAATACATAACTCTTCTATCTAACTGCTACCGCAAACAGACTATTGACCTACTTTTTACAGACTAGAGATATAACACACTTGTTTTGTGCATCATCATGAAAATATGCAAGAATTTCAAAATATGTACAGAGAAGTTAAAGCCTTTTTATTCCTAATTCCATATAAGATATGCCAATTTTTTTAAAGTTGAAAATTTTGATGAGTATCTATATTTAGTAAATGCATTATTACTTAGCTACCTATGCTCGCGTCTACCTACCATACAAAGCACTTCAAACCCGTTATTAAGTTCTAGGGTCTCCTCTGTCTGCTGGAGACGCCAGGAGATGGATTCTTATGGAAGGAGCTATAACTCCAACATATCGATGGGATCTTTATCCTAGTCGTTAAGACTTTGATGAAAGGTGCAGTCCTATGTCAAGTCGAGTGACCAACTGAACAAACAAATGTATAGGTTTATGTACACGTATAGCTGTCTTTTTTCAAGGTTGGTAAAGCATACTTATGTCGTAGAAATTATACACTATAAATAATTGCATGAGCTAGCTCCGTACAATACATTTTTCCCGCATCATCACTTTTAAACTGACCTCATTTCATATTATCAGGCATTTCTGTAGTACCTTCTTATACCATTTTCAATTAGCAAAGTGTTATTTTAAGTATTTATTTTTCTGAAATATACCATTCTTACCATTATCAATTCTTATGATTTATCAACCCCAACAATAATCTCACTTTATAATTCACACCTCAACTATAGTAAGCACTATATAGTTACCTACCTACAGTTTGCAGCCTATAGCCTACATTAGGGTGATAGGCATTTTACTAACTACATGATGTTCCATTGGAAAAGATAGCCTAAGATAAGATATCTCTTCATCTCTCAGTTTAGAGTCGCACGGGACTGGAAATGATAACTATCCTTAGTTATCACTTCCAGTCCAGTTTGCCTTTTAAGGTAAGTAAGTAAATAGGTAGACTGTCAAACTAACGCGTGGCTCCGTTGATGGTAAGTTTATAGACGCTTCGAAAAACAAAATGTCACTCCCGCGTTGTCTACCATACTGAGTCACGAGTTTGTAAATACCTTTTCCGCACGAATATCATACAACGTTTTATAACACATTTGATAGAAAACAGTAAGTATACCTAATTTAGGTACTGAAGCATACTTTTTCTAATAAGCAAATGGCGCGTATTTCCTAGTGGTGCCACGTGCACACTTAAAAATTAGAAGTGCATCTTGCGTCTCTTTTTCTTTTTAGTATTAAACTGAGACAAAGGTATAGGATTAAAAGCTCTTCCAAGGAGGTTCGACCGAAATAAAAAAAAACCGTAAAGAATACGGCCGGGGCCATGTATGGGAGCGTGCGTTAAAATGTTTTACCGCAGGGTCCGTTATATGGCCCTCAATTTTGAACTTTCGAACAATGTATACAACCACCGTAAATGCATTTTTTGAGCGAATGTGTTGAATATTTTTTTATGTAGAAGATTGTTAGTTTTTTATACATATTCATAAATTATTACGACCTCCATTGTTTCTCAATGCATTTGTCACAACCATACGATAGGTTGGCGTTGTATATTTCATTCAGCTAAGTAGGTCTGTCGATGTAAATTAGCATTGTTTGTGGATTGCGCGAGCCATTCGCACTTGGACTTACTTGATTGACTCGTGAACTTTGCGCTGTTTTATTTGATTTGACATCAGCAGACTGTATTTTGATCTTTGTACTATATTACACATGTATGCGGCTAATAAAATTATTACGTGATTTCAAATTAGAATAAGTATTCGCAGTTTCTTACAAAATTTGTCTGAGTAGAGAGGCACGCGCATGTAATAAAGGAAGAATAAACTTGGAATAGTTACTCTATCTTTTTCTCTGTTCATTGGCAACAAATGGCATTTGAGTGATATGAACAGAACACGGCTTAACTAGTCAAAGCTAATTCCTCGGTTTATTAACAAGGGGGTTTGGGCTTAAAGTAATACTACTTAAATGAATATTACATCGCCGCAACATTTAACCGTTCATCTTTAGCATGTAACACCACATTTATGAAATATTATGTTGAACCACATAATATTTCATAAATGTAATGTTAAAAATCTTGCCTGCTACACAAAGCAATGTATATTTTTGTCCTTCAAAAATAAGAGATTCCAAGACCAAAAAGCACACCAAACTTAATTGAAAATCAACTTTTGACGGGTCATTTTTCATCTTTTATATAAAAATAATATAAGTTAAAAAAATAATCTAAAAAATTAAAATTGCGTTTGGGTGTTGAGAAGGTAAGTTTTCACCAAATTTCGTGAAAATAAAAAGATTGTTTAATATTTTTTGATAAAAGTAGTTAGTAGTTTTCCGAAAAATCGCGGTAAACTGTTTTCCACCCTCAATAGGTCACCGGCCACCCTTCCCGACCTCAAATCACTCGTAATTTAATTTCCCTCTTTTTTAATGTGTTTTG